TTTTTTTTTATACCATCACTCACCGCTGTGTAAAGATGCATCTTCAGACAGGTCCAAATCCAACATGAGGTCCTCTTCCTCCAGGTCACATGACTCCACATTCTCCAGGTTGTCGAGAATGTCCTTAAATATAATATGTGAATAGAGAGTCATGCCAGGAGCCAAAATGAGAAGTGCAAACAAATTTAAGGATAAGGGTGGGTAATTTTAAAATGAGAAAGCAATGGGCAGAGTAGACTTCTCTGAAGGAGGAAGGAAGACAACTGATGCGTATTCAAGCAAGAAGCAGTTCTCATACATGATGGAAGTCACCTCCCCTCTCCACAACTCATCTCTCTCAGAGAAGATTTAGTGCCAGCTGAGGACCTCTGTTAAATGACTTTTCCCCATGACCGGCTATCTACTCACGGCATGACAATAGAGGCATACCCAGAAGGGAACAGGCGAAACGGTGCAGGATAAAATGAGAGGTGTCTTGTAGTGGGCTGACTGCTTTTTATTTCATTGAAAAATTATGACAACAATGTAAGTGTGAATCACACAAGTTACTATAAATGTAAATTTCTCTTCAGACTCACTACACAACAGAAAGGCTGAAAGCTTACATTTCATTCTTCTGTATTTTTTGCCCTTACCACCCATAAGACATTACCACTCTCAATATTGGATATTTTCAACTTACGCAGATTCCATGCAGATGCCTTAACTTTCCATACACTCCTTTCTCTGAACTCTTATCACCCAACTGTAAATTTTGTAACTCCCCCACTGATCTGAGACGGGATGGCGGTTTGGTTTAAATTTTTAAAGAATGTTTTCAGTGTCGGACTATACAAAGAACTACATTATAATTTCAATTGCAGTTGCTGAACTCTGATATCCTGGTAGTTATGTATGTGGTCTACAGGCCTCCAGAGCCACACAAAACTTTCTGACAGATTTCTAAAACTTCTTGGGGGGAATCATCCCCAATTTTGATCGATTTTTAATTATTGGGGATTTTAATATTCACATATTCTGCCCCTCAAACTCATTTGCAAATGACTTTATTAGTCAAACAGAAGCTTTTGATTTAGTGCAGCTTGTAAAAGAACCTAATCACATACATGGACACACTTGATCTTATAATGCCTCATGGGTTCCCTATGGGTGATATTGAGATTGACCACAGTTCACAGTTCTGACCATAATCCTATTATATTTAACATGCCATTATCATTGAATGCTATCAAACCTCACGCCTCTGACTCAGAGGATCACTGCACTAAAATTTTGGATTCTGCGGCTCCACTGAGGACTAAACAGCATAAGTTGACTCCTGAGCTGTGGTTGAATAATACCACTTGTACCATTGAGACAGGCATGTAGAAGGGTCGAGAGGAAATGGAAAAAAGACAAACTTCAGATTTCTTATGAAATCTTAAAGAATTCTCTTATTAAGTATAAGAAGGCTGTCAGAGCTGTCAGACCAAATTTTTTGACTCTTATAGCAAGAATCATAAAAATATTTTCAATACCATCAACGCTGTGTTAAACCATGTTGTCTGTGTTTATACTACAGAGTCGGTAGCTATGTGTGAGCATTTCTGCTGGTTTTTATTAACAAGATTATGCATACCATTTAACCTGTTGCTGGAGACCCTGCAGGCCATTTAAAATATACAGGTGTCTTTAGCCAGCTTACTTCTATTTCTTTTTTTTTTACATGTCATTGGTAATCAGCTCAAACCAACTGGTTCACCCTTAGATATAATTCCCCTACGGTTACTTAAACAAGTGTTCAGTTTAGTGGGTCTGACACTTTTAAATTTGATTAATAAATGCCTTGAGTTAGGAGTTGTTCCTAACTATTTAAAACATGCCTCGGTACAACCCAGACTTAGAAGGCCTAATTTAGATTCTTCTGATTTATCAAATTTCAGACCCATTTCTAACCTTCCATTTTTAGCAACATTTTTTTGTTTTTTGCTAAAGTTTTTTGGTCGATTACAAAATCTTTGATACATTTCAATCAGGTTTTAGGAAATTTAATTTCACTGAGACAGCTCTTTTAAAAGTGTTCAATAATGTTCCTTTAGCTCGGTGGTTCTCAAAGTGTTGGGCGTGCCTGCCGGGGGGGGCCCATGAGTATTGCAGGGGTGGCGCGGGCCATCAGCAGAAAAAAGAAAAGAATTAAAACAGTAAACAGCCAAAGGACGTAACTTAGAATGGGAGAGGGATCGGTGTGTGAAAGGGAAGAGAAAAACCATAAATGAAGTCTATTATTCTCTCTATGCTATTTTTCAATGTTTCAAGTGATGCAGGTGTCACGGGTTCCCAGGCGAAGGAGCTTGAAGGAGTTCGAAGGAGGCAGATATCAAATAAACAGTCTTTTAATAAATCCACTTGGGAAAAACCAGGAGAAAACAACCTCTTTACATGATGGAGACAGGACAAAGAAACTGAGGAAAGGCAGGGTTATTTATACAAAACCAAACGATGGACTAATAAGATAATTAATGAACACAGGTGGAAACTAATGAACTAATCAAGCAACAAAGGAAAACTAGGTCAAGGCAGGGAGAACAGAAAAACAGAACATACACGTGACACCCTGTGGGTTTTTTTTATTTTATTTATTATTAAAAAACATTAATTTTTCTTAATGTTTAGTGAAATTAGTTGGTAGTCTGAGGTGGGGATTCAGGAAGGGGGGGTTGGGCGCCAGATTTTTTTATAGGTTTAAAGGGGGACGCGACCAAAAAAGTTTGAGAACCACTGCTTTAGCTACCGACTCTGGGGATTCTGAAGCTCTACTATACTTTTAGACTTGAGCGCTGCCTTTGACACTGTAGGCCACAAAGTTTTTCTGTCCCGCTTAGAACAGCTGGTGGGCATTAGTGGTTCGGCCCTAAATTGATTCTAATCTATTTTACTAACTGTCTCAATCAAACATTGGCCATTTTCACTCTGGTACTGTCCCTCTGACCTGCGGGGTCCCCCAAGATTCTACTCTAGCTCCCATGTTATTTTCTCTCTATATGCTTCCACTTGGTTCCATCTTTGGTTTAGACCCTGTGGTTGCTTGCCTCTTGGATGTTAAAGCATGAATGTCCCTAAATTTTAAAGTTTTTATTTAAATGTAATTTATTTAACTTTTAATTTTTTAAGTCTGAATGAGAGTTAAACAAAGAGTGTGGTGTTAACCCCTTCTGATTACCAAAGTATACCAAACTTAAATCTTGGATTCTGGCATCTTATGTCAGGCCGTATGTGAAAAATCTGGGCGTTTTACTGGACAGTGCTTTAAAGCGTGATTGATTTAGGTTAAATTAAGTTAGATTTAGATTAAACCATAAGGCTTGTATATTGTAACTCTATCTGGGGATCAGTCAATCTTCTCTAAACCATCTTCAAATGGTTCAAAATGCAGCTGTCAGAGTCCTAACAGAAGCTTGAAAGCATGAGCATATTAAACCTGTTCTATGGTCTTCACACTGGTTACGCATGCTCTATAGGATTAATTTTAAATGGCTCTTATTGGTTTTTAAATCTTTAAATGGTTTAGCACCATTATACCTCTCTGACCACCAACCAGCAAGAGCTCTTAGGTCAGCCAATTTAAGGCTCTTAGTGGGTTCCTAAAACAAGACTAAAGTCTAGGGGTGATTGAGCATTTGCCATAGCCGCTCCGAGACTTTGGAATAGTCTACCTATTTAAATCTGAACTGCTCCCACACTATCCATTTTTAAATCTAGGTGGCTTATTATCCATGATTTAAAACTGATTCACTCTATGGTTTGTGGTTTTATTTGGGACTTTGTCTTTGTCTCAATTCTGTTAATGGCTGTTATTTAATTTTGTTTTTAACTGTGCTTTGTAAATAAACTGAGATTGAATTGAAATTGAATTTATAAAATAGCTTCAGAAATATGTAAATTTCTACATTGTCTATGTTACTACTCAGATAGGCAAGTTTGTGATTGATTATGCTGCGATAACATGGATTTATGGACATATCAGTTTTCAATTGTGAAATGTATTAATTTTCAAATTAAACTGTTATGGGCTTGTGGTTATGCAAAAATTGTGGTTATGCATAAATACAACATGTACTCATGTATCTCCTTCACCAGCATGGATATTTAAAAAAAATATATATGACTTATTCTGCACTACAAAGTCTCGTTAGAAACTTCCCCTACATTATAAAATCACCTTGCCAAAGTCAACATTAATGAGTGAGAGAAATCAGCAAGTGTGAGTCATTGGTGTGTTTTTGGGTGCATCTTAATCAGCACTCTAGTTCAGCAGTCAAGGCACTGTTCAAGGAGTTGGCCATTTTAAGGGCTGTCTCAATAGCAAAATTCAACACATCTAGTTAACGTTTGCACGTTGACGTTGTACATAGTCACGTCACCGGAAATAGAGTAATCACTGTCCCAATGTGTAGTGAGCCAGGGTCCTTACCAGTGACCTACCTGTAGATTTGTGTACATGGTATACTGCTTCACGAGCTAGGGAGCTTATTGATAAGCAACCTTTGGCTCTTCTACCCCTAACCTTAATTTGGTTGAATTAAGTTGGTTGAATTAAATAGCTTGATTATCCTCCCTAAATTATAAATAACACCTACATCCTACTAAAGCTACATTTGAAATCAGTCACTTGTTCACTGCTTTACTATTTCCATGAATAGTGCACTATATAGGACAGGTTTCTCAAATGAGGGTTTGTGAACCTCTTGGGGTTTATGAAAGAACTGCAGGGGGTTTGTAAGTTGACAAAAAGATAATTAAAGGCAGTGTAGGGGATTCAGTTCAAAAACATTTTTTGTTATGCAGGTTGAAAGTCTTTTCACACCCTGATAGCAATCCCTAAGTTAAGTTGTCTAAATGTATTTATGTCATCTGTGAAAAGCATAGGACCATAAAATGTTCGTCCAATCATATCCCTCGGCCCGAGGGCTACAATAGGCTGTTCTACCTGCCTGTTAACCTATGTATTCACATACCTCTGTGCACCCTGTTTGCACAGACATGATACGTCATCTGCCTGTTCCATTACACTATTGCAGACCGAGCAATAATAGAAGGCGTTATTATTGTAATATAATGTGCTTTGTACTGTAATGTTTTCTCAC